ATATATATAGGCTATATAGGACACGTAATGTTGACCACTACAAGCTTGTTATCGTTACATTCATCCCGGTATAGAACTGTTGCACATTTTTGCCATATTATTATTGTTATACTAATTATACGTTTACAAAAGAAGCTGTGAGAAAATGTAGTTTTGTGAGCTTTTCTCATTGTAGAAATCTATAAATCTCATCTTGTCGATTCTGTTTTTGTCCCATTAACTACAAAGATCTTAATCAAGTACAGTACTTTTGATTGACAATTAATTGTGTTTGGTTGTCGGTATTTCGTTTTTGGCATTCGAATTTCGTTTGGTTTCATTCGCTTTTCAAACATTATGGTGTACATTTTTTAGAAATTTCCCAAACATTGTCATTTTATTTAGTCTGTTCTTTATGTGTTGTAATTTACGTTCTGAACATTTCGTTTTAAGGAATGCATCTCATGTTCTGTAATTGTAATGTTTTAATTTTGTGTTGATGCGAACCAAGTATTTAGTGACACCCAAAAGGACAGAGAAATCGAGTTCTGCTGTATATGTCGATAGCAAACCGCCATACTTACCTCATTGTTTATTTCTGGCCTCATTTCAGTGTTTGGAGAAATAAAGTTTAATTTTATCTGGTGACTTGAAGCGTTTTGTTGTTGTTGCTGTTGTTGTTGTTGTTGTTGTTGTTGTGGTTGTGGTTGTTGTGGTTGTGTTTGTTTGTTTGTTATTATTGTTGTTGTTTGTTTGTTTGTTTGTTTGTTTGTTTGTTTTTCTTTCATTTTAATTTCTAGACCTCAAAATGTGGTCTCAAAACGTCTTGGGAGTAAGACTGCTCGTTCGTCAAAACAGAAGCACAACTCGCGTACCGACATACGCCACATCTCTCCTGTACAAGAGAGTAGAGAGAGATAGAGGGGGAGGAGGGGTGGAAGCAGGGACGGACTGGGTCTTAAAACCGGCCCGGGCATTTGTCATCCGTACCGGCCCACTAAGGCCTAGTAGAACATGCAACGCCAACATCTTTCTAAGCCTCCATACTATTATTATGTTACTAGTTAGAGCACACAAACATACAACAAAAACACACCCATATTTATATATTGTGCTTGCGTATTTGTGTGTGTACGTGTGAGTGTACGTTATGTATGTATGTTTGTAGGTAGGTAGGTAGGTAGGTAGGTATATGTGTGTGTATGTGGGGGGTGGGGTTGTGTGTGTGTGTGT